GAGTTGGCTATGAAAGGGATTAAAATTCACTTCTCAATCTGTCGGTAACGTTGCGAGTGACACGAAAATGGTAATGGTAGACCTTTCACCTAATGTAAAAAATACATTAGGTGAAAGGTCTACTCGTATAACTCGTCTGTGGACCAACTTTCATAAGATGCATAGTCTACCCTATACTTCGTCTTAAACTTGAAGGTACTTTGCTCCCTGCACCATAGATGTCGTTTTCTGTACACATTATTTTAGTCGTTTCTTCTGACAGCTGAATGCTCGAATACTCTCCAAATCCAATCGAGGACTCTAACATCATGTACATACGTTACAAAATTTGTTAAACTTTTTATCTTACTCGCTTCCTGGTGTAAAAGAATCTCCAAGAAAATTCAACTTGGGACTGTAAAAGTAGAAGGTTTAAACGCTTGGAAAAGGTACTGATACGCACGTATTCTTTTTGTCGTATTTTATTCAAGCACCTAAGGGAATTTATGGAAAGTAATCTAGAATTCAAATGGACCAGTCGTTTCGAAAGTAGTACAGTGTGGTGTTTCCCGTAAATGTAATCAACCACACGCCCCTTACTAAATTATCAATGACAGCTCTAGATAACTGAGCTTTCTCTGATAATGCAAAATTAACCATCACGCGACGAATTCTGCATGAATCAAGCGAATGAATATTTATCGATCGATTATGCACCGGTGTAACGGTGACGACTATATGTATATTTCGAGAATATCGTTTAACGTTTTATACTAATAAATAACGTCTTTAACTAATAAGTAACGTCTTTAGTAGTACGGAAAATAAGCATCGTCAATAACAAAGATTTATTTGCGGAAGTGAAACTCGAAAACCGTCGTGGTATTAAAATCATTTCTTTTGATGGCGTCGCGTTATTAAGTACTTTGACATTCTGTATCGATTCGCGTTTCTTCCCTTGTCGTCTACTATCGATCAGACTTTGTTCTGTTCATAGTAAAGTGCGCTTGACAAAAAGTTATGTGAACTTATAATAGGGTATAGTCGTTTCTTATAAATTTTTAAACAAGGAGAGTCGCTATTTGAGCCCGCGTAGAGTTTAGCTCGAATATCGACTGTGCGGAGAAAGACCACCGTATCCGGTATGAAAAATCTCACGACGTTTGCAAACCATTTTGCTTAAAATAATTCATTCTTAACTCCTTCGTAAGTTTTCAAGCTTCCCTCCGTTTAGATAATTTTAGACAGCGCAACTTGTCCCCTAACCTTACAATTAGCGTGTCGCTAATAAATTGTTCAGGATCGAAAGTTCAAAAATATTAATCGAGCTCTAACGTGGACTAGATTTATCTTTAGGTGTACACGGGTTTGATATATGGACGATGCAATTAATTCTCGGAACGCGTAACATGGAATCTGGCACGCCAAGATATCAACGGTGTTGTCGACAAAAATCCCACGGGATCGGGGCGAATGTGTTCGCTCGAAACAGAGCTCATCGAAGTTCGAGTAAAATCGACCGAGTAATGCATTACTTTCCAACGGCGAGGAGAGTTTCTAACTTTGGAGAATTGGATGTGGACAATTTATAAAGACATTCGCTCGAACGAAAATTCTGTATAAAGAAAAAGACACGGATGTAGCGACATCTTCTGTATTCTCCACCAGGGGGACTGCTTTCTCGCAAGTGATCGACAGACCTTTCGTTCCTATATATTCGTACCTCGAGTGACTATTCGATATCGCGAATTTTAAGGCAAGATCTGTTAGGATACGTTATTGATCAGTATCATTAACAGATCCAGGACGAAAAACGGTCGCCCCCTTTCCCCATTACTTTGCTCAACTACTGTTATTTCTGTAAATCCTTTCTGGGAGAAATTTGAGTGGGAGATTGTGGAGACCAAAACAAGACGAAAGTCAAGAAGAGCAATCTGTTGATCGAGGTTTCGTTAAAAAGTTATTAGCGTTTTTAATGTTTCATATTGACTGGGAAATTTTTCGGCGAAATTAAAAACTTTTAAATCGTCCTGGAAAAATTATTTCCGGTTGTGAGGGTCAATTACAAACATTTTTGGTCAATAGACATACCCTCGAAATCCTACCCACTTTCTAGAAACAAATTCGTGAAGTTGTGAAATTTTACGACGAAAAAAAAAATTTCAAATCGTCCTGGAAAAATTATTTCCGGTTGCAGGGGTCAATTACAAACACTTTTGGTCAATAGACATACCCTCAAAATCCTAATCATTTCCGAGAAAAAAATTCCTTACCGAAAATATAATTTCAGACCAGAAATGTCACTGCAAAATTTCAAGCGCATCTTTACAAAGTCATAACTTCTGAACGGATTGGGCGATTTTGATGTTTCAAAAGGCAAACTACGCGTATTTTGATGGAGAATATGTGGAAGTTCCAAAAATATTCGAAAAGTCGATCCTTAAAACCGTAAAGCGAGAAAAACCCCATAAAAAAGGTCCAATTTTCAAACGGCCATAATTCCTACAATAGTGAATATATTTCAATGAAATTTTTTTCTGAAATAGTGCTCATTGGTAACTACAAAAAAGTGTTACACAACTTTTCTGTAGGGCATCAAACAAAATTACTAAAAATCAAAAACGAATAATTAAGAAAAATCGAATAAGGTAGGTGTTTAAATTTTTCAGCGAAATTGAAAAGTTTCAAATCGCTCTGGAAAAATTATTTTCGATTGCGGGGGTCAATTACAATCATTTTTGGTGAATAGACGTATCATCGAAATCCTAACCATTTTCGAGAAAAAAATTCAAGTAGGTGGACAAATTCTCTTAATAATTTTTAACATTAATTTAACATTAAAATTTTAATGGGAGATTCTGGAGGCCAAAATAAGACGAAAATCAAGAATACCAATTTGTTGATAGAGGTTTCGTTAAAAAGTTATTAACGTTTAAAGTTCCGCCAGTTTTGAATTTTTTTCTCGAAAATGCGCAAGATTTTGGGGGGTATGCTTATTCATAAAAAATGATTGTAATTGACCCCCACAACCGAAAATAATTTTTCCAAAACGATTTGAAATTTTTTTTTCAGTCAAAAAATTCCACACATTCTCGAATTTTTTTCTAGAAAGTGGGTAGGATTTCGGGGGCATGTCTATTCACCAAAAATGCTTATAATTGACCCTTGTAACTAAATATAATTTTTTTGGTATGATTTGAAATTTTTTAATTTTCTGAAAAATTTGCCCACCTTGTTGAATTTTTTTTTCGAAACTGCGTAGGATTTCGGAGGTATGTCTATTCACCAAAAATGATTGTAATTAACCCCCGCAACCGAAAATAATTTTTCCAAAACGATTTGAAATTTTTTTTTCCGTCAAAAAATTCCACACCTTCTCGAATTTTTTTCTAGAAAGTGGGTAGGATTTCGGGGGTATGTCTGCTCACCAAAAATGATTGTAATTGACCCCCGTAACTGAAAATAATTTTTCCAGAACGATTTGAAATTGTTGAATTTAATTGTTAATAACTTTTTAACGAAGCCTCCATCAACAAATTGATATTCTTGATTTTCGTCTTATTTTGGCCTCTAGAATCTCATTAAAATTTTTCCCAGGTGTGGCCTAACACCCAGTGTATATGGCTGTTTGATGTGTTAATAGACTTTTGGAAATAATTTTCTGCCCTTCGAAGTGACCACTCAAGAAAATTCTAAACAATGGATACACGACTTAGAAGTCAGTGTTAAATATTCTGTAGGCACTTCCTTGACATAAATTTTCTATCACCTTCGGTAGTTTCACCGTTGCACCATCTTCCAATGCTCTTTGACCAATATAATAAGCATAGTTTCGAGCCATACCAATTATTTACCCAATCTGATTCCGTCAAACAATCTTCAACATTCTCTACGTGCAAAAGAAAACAACAAACAGAAATCTTGCGTTCTCTTCGAATAAAACATTAACGAAATATTTTCGTGTATACAGAATTTACGTTCGTCTGCATGAAAAAAACATTGCAAACATATTTGCAGGAAACATTGGTTTTCAGTCGTGCAGAGTACATTCGATGTTTGCAATCATCGGAAAAGTTTTTAGCCTGCCGCCATTTGGAGTGATAATTTTAAAAATTGATGTTAAAAAGTCTCGACTAATCGTAAGGTCGTCCGCGGGTCGTTTAGCTAATTTTTCATTTCAAGATAAAGTGGAATTCGTGGATGACGCATAAATGTAAAACTCGTAGTTTAAATAACGGTCGAAGAAAATCAACGTTCATTAATCCGAATGGTCGAAGAAAAGTATGAATTATTTTTAAGAGATTCAGATACGGGATTAAAGGAATAAAGCGTTTCAAATGTTTCGACATGTTTCCTTTTATTATTCGGTACATTTACTGATTGCAATTACCGCAAGACAGTATTTTTTAGAAACATTTTTCGTCGTTTTGGGCTGGCATTTTTCCCCGCAACGTTTCGTCGTATCATCGAGGCTTGTATTACTTCGTAGCTCGTAGCGCAGTTGCCCGTAATCGCCTCGGGCACGTGTTTCTGGTGCGCCAATCATTTATAATTTCAGAGAAACGAAAATCCTTGCGTTCCTACGATTAATTGCGGAGTACCGGTTCCCGTCGATTATCGCGAACGTACTTAAAAATTGAACGTTACCGCGAACGTGCGCTTCGACGAGCGAAAAAACATTATATTCATTCTTTAACACTAGAAAGACTGAAACTTAGTATTGAACATATCCCATAATATCCAATAAGATACTTAAAAAAAATTTTTGGCATCATTTTCCACGACAAAATGGAAACTTCAGTAAAAGTTATGTACAGTGGTAAAATCTACGTTCCTTTATTAACATTTTAGCGTATAAGAATTTATAAAACATGAACTTTAGTTTTCTGATGTTTGTCCATTGCTGGACATACCGTGCGATGGCTCAATTTATTCGTGACAGAAAGGGTTAACAATCCCTTCGATTATCCCTTTCCGTTCGGACGTTTCGTGAATCAGCGTTGTTAACATCGCTGTCAGAGGTTCGTGATCGACAAGCGGGGTACTCACCGCGCATACGTGGACGCGTAGCTACGCGAGAATCCGCGGTACTGATTGGTAGACGGGCGAGACGCTACGAGACTGCACGTTTGCGTGCAACCGTTCGCGTCGTCAGTCTCGCGGCGAGCGTCGTGCAGTGCGTATCGTAGTTGTTCCGTTGATCGTTTGAGAGCGCTCATCGAAACCGTCTAGCACGAAAATTTCCAGTGAACTCGAAAGCTACCCTGTCGAGTGCGCGTGACAGCCGAGAAGTAAGTGACGCTTTCCGCAAAGAAAAAAAAAAGTCGACGACGTTTGATTCGTTTGCATCCAGCGGTCGCGCGAACATTCCGCCCGGATCGGCCGCGAGAAAATAATCGCGGAGTTTTCGAAAATCATTATGCAACCAAGCGAATGTTTTATTCCGGTCAATGTCAACGTTTCGTTCGCGCGACCCGTCTCTTCTTTTCGTTCTCTCAAAATATTTTTGTCGACGCTTCGAACCTCGGGAGAGAGTTTGACCGTGACTTTTGCTCGACGCGAAAGGGGAAAAGGAAATTCATTTTGCACGTGTGTTTAAAGGGAAGCTTCGAACCGCGGAAGGAGTCAGTCTTTGGGGCGTTTGTTGTCGGAGAATAGTTAATTATTTTAACGCTATATCGTTTCGTTAATAACGATCCCGTTTCGAGAGTAACATTTCAGTTTAATAATTAACGAAGATTTGTTTATTTCGTACGAACGTTTAAAGGAAAAGACTGTGGAATAATAACAATTCGGGTATATAACGTGGACGTACGATTGATATTTCTGTGTTTCTCTGGTCGAAGTTGGCGCACTAAATTGTTTAGAACTTCGATAAGGAGCAATTCTCCGGTGCTAATAATGCCGGCAGAGCGAGACTCATTCTCTCCGTAGGGAGTTGTTAGTTTGAAATTCAACGCTTGGCTACTTGGCCGAGTAGGATTGACAATCAGCCGTGCAATTTCGTTCAATTCATCCGTCGACTGCTACCAACTTCTCCGATAATTAACCTCTTTGTTTGTCCAGCTTCTCTGGATATTTCCATCGAGTATTTCAGTCGCGATGAATTTTTAATTCTATTCGCGGACGATCGAGAAATTCACGGATTTAAACGCGCCGAGCAACAAGTTACCTGGAAAGAAAACTTTTTTTTTTATTTCTTCGACGTTGATCGTGGCCATTGCGAACGCGAACGCGTTACGGAAAGTTCGCTCGAGCGCGATATTATCGATCGATCGTATACACAAACGATATATCTATCGAACGTGTAGGTTAGAAATCATGTTAATCGATAAACAGGTATGGCTATCGAGATACCGTCGAATATGCAAGGAAACGTTCCCGAACAATTATTCAATACGATTACTTAACTCTTTTAACACGTTCACTGCCAGATGAAAACTGTATAATATTCTGTAAGATTAAAATTTTCATTTTACACCATTGTAAGCTACATAATATAAAATTCGTTTCGCTACTTATTTTCGTAACCTTGTTAAAATTCACAAATTCCGTCCAAATTTATTTCCCTCGGCGTCTTAACTTGAGAATTCATTTTTCTAGTATCATAGTTGTAAATCCTGTCACCCACATATGGGTGTCGTGATAGTCAAAGTGTTAATAAATATTATTTCCACGATTAGGATCGAATTAAAGATAGACGACGATAAAATTAAGAACGAGCTATTAATAAATTAATAATATAAATTGTTTTACTCAGAGTTAGAGGCGTAGAAATATTTATAGTAATTTTCACATTTGTAAACTGCGAATTCTTAGATAAATATTTTTATTCTTTGTAAATGTCGATCATTTCAAAATAGGATTACATAGTAGTTTGAGCCAAGAAAAGAGAACGTTCGTAATTTTTTATTACTACGTAATTTAACGTGGAAGCGTGGAAATGATCAAAATAAAATCGCTGCGATAATGATAGCAAAAAAGTTCGCTCGGCCATGTTTATTTGAAAAGCTTATACAGCCTGTTACCTATGCGTAACGATATTCTATGCACCATAATATCCTGCAAATATATACGTTTGATAAATGACGTTATTCTGTTTCCCGCTGATGCGATTAAAGTTATGGACGGTGATGTATGTATAGTTAGACGATCATTTTCAGTGTTCCTCGTTTATAAATCATCGGGTTGGTTCATTTTCTTTGCCATTGTTTCGCTGCATTTAACGCGTAAAGGCTTTTACTTGGAAACTATACACCTATTATTGATATCGAGTAATTTTTCTTGTTACAACAAAGATACTTTAATCTGAAGTAATTTTCCTCCACGTTACGTTCCAAATATTCAATAATTTGTTGAAAATCGCGAAAGGCAGAGAATTGGGGTCCGTCGCCTCCCGCGTTTGCCACCAGATGGCCGTTTCTCTTGCAAGCGTTCGACCGACCTTCCACTAGTATATAGAGGGTGTTCGACCACCCCTGGGAAAAATTTAATGGGCCATTTTACAGGCCAAAATAAGACGAAAATCAAGAATACCAACTTGTTAATGGAGGCTTCGTTCGCTTGAAGTTGAAGTTGAAAAAAAATTTCCAAATTGTTCTGGAAAAATTATTTTCGGTTGCGGGGGTCAATTACAATCATTTTTGGTCATTACACACACCCCCGAAATCCAACCCACTTTCTAGAAAAAAATTCGAGAAGGTGTGAAATTTTTCGACAGAAAAAAAAAATTTCAAATCGTTCTGGAAAAATTATTTTCGGTTGCAGGGGTCGATTACAATGATTTTTGGTGAATAGACATACCCCCGAAATACTGCGCATTTTCGAGAAAAAAATTCAGTAAGGGCGGAACTTTAAACGTTAATAACTTTTTAACAAAGGCTCCATCAACAAATTGGTATTCTTGACTTTCGTCTTATTTTGGCGTCTAGAATCCTCCACTAAAATTTTTCCTAGACCCGGGTCAAAAAACACTCCTTTCTTCTATTCTTCTATAACTCTTCCACAGGACCCCACAGAATTATGAAATTTTGGACCAAAACGCGTTCGAATTTGCGGGTAGGCAATTAACGAACGGTTATCGTTTGTCGATCGTCGCAGCAAACTCGATTTACAACACCACGAGATTAATACGCGGGCGCAAAATGCATCGAAACTCTGCAGACGACGCGTAGGAAGAGCTCTCGTAACGAAACGAACGAAAACAAAGGGAACTCGATCGCTAATCGCTCCGTGACTCGCGGGTGCAAACGAATTACATATAACGCGTTCACCGCGGGTGGCTTCTTTCGTCGACTTTCCATACTTGACGGCGCGCGGGGGATCAAACTCCGTATATTACACTTTCATATCTCTGCGGGGCAAATAGGCCGGGCAGACTTTCCAGTCACGCTTCCGTACGTTTCGAAAAAAATGACAAATTAGGGAGAGAAACCTCGTGCGGCGAAGGTTCGACGAAGAAGCAGGCCTCGAAACGAAATACCGTGGCAAAACAGGATGAATTCTAACGCGTGGAATCCACTTTGGTGGTCGATCGAGGAAAAATTGAGGAAAGTTCGTACGAACGTGTGTGTGTGTTGCTCTGTTTACTCGTAATCTATTTTTTCTCGTTCATTTAAATTCTTGTATTAATCGTACACAAGTTTGGATCCAAAAATGAAGTTGAGAGGGCGCTAGGGTCGGAGGCTGCAATTCAAGATGGCCACCGTTTTCGACGATACAAGTTTAATGCTCCTTTATTCGTAGTCCATATAAATTCTTGTGTTAATTTTGCACGATTCTGAAACGAGCAACATTTGCACGGAGCTTAAGGCTACGATTCAAGATGGCCGCCGTTTTCGACAACGCAAGATCGACGCGTTGTAAATCGTTTTCTTCGTCGTGCGTGTACTCGGGAATAACGACAAAATTATATCCGGCGTCCGGAATATTTATTAACAATCGTGGCCGCAAAATGTCGGCAATTTGTGGAAACAAGGGCACGCGTTCGTACGGAAACGATCCTCGTTGGTTTCGTGTCTCCGTCGTCGAAGTGGGTCCCACGTGTTCGTGCAGCCTGTACATGTCGTGCGAACGTGTTAAAGGGACGAATATTTCGTTAGATCGTGGCAGGCATCAGGAAGAGACAGAACTCCGCGAGTGTCGGGAGAACGCGTCGCCATGGGTAACCTGTATTGTGGCCCGCGGGTGTAGTGCCAACGCGTAATCGAGGGGAAGTCGGGAGAAAGAGAGAAAGGAGAGCAAAAGAGAGGAGAGACGATCGCGTGACAGCGCGAGAGGGCGTGAGAGAGAGGGAAGAGCGAAGGGAAGTGAAAAAGTAAGGAAGACAGAGAACGCGTGGACAAGCGTGACCAAGCAAGACTTCGAAAGGCTACTCTCTCGTGGCCGCTGGCGAAACAGAGGAAGAGGAACAGAAGCGCGAGAGAGAGACGGAAATAATAATGCGGACTCGTTGCTTCCGCCTTGATCAACAGGACGTTCGGATCTGCTCGTAGTAAGTAGAGAAAACTGAATTTTGCTCGGTCGTCCATTGCCACCCCTAACATTTCACGACCAAGGAAAATTACTAGACGTAAATAACAGGGCTTATACAGTCCTTTTTTTGGGGTCTCGAACCACTCATCCGTCGAATCGATTAAATACAAAAATAAAGTTACAAAAAGTAAATTTTCCTCGAAATATTATCACCTTCGAGTTGTAAAGAATTTATTATGTTGATTGTTTCCACTAAAAATCAAAGAGTTGAGATTACATAGAATATGTGTATGTAGATTTTTATATTGTTTTTGAAACGTGTGTGTTAACTTGGTGGATGATTATGTTTACGGTGAAATGGTCAAACGAGTCACGTGTTATCTTTATTGCGAGTAAAAAGAACCGACCCTTAAGGATCGATACGTGTATCTTTAATAAAAAGGTAGGATAAAGATGGTTTATATCGTCTGATATAATATTCGCTATCGATTTCATCGTCGCTTTCGAAAAATTTAACTCATCTTCACTTTCAGATTCTGAGCCTTTGTTAATCACGGAACATTCTTCGTCGGTATTAATTGTTTCTTTCAGAACATTGTTTTTCGAGGTTCTTTAAAATCAGAAATCACTGCAACGATCTACAGTAAAATACAAATTGAATATTAAAGTTGGGAATATTTTTTTTTTCTATAAATTTTTAAATAGGATTTCCTAATTTAAATCTACTTTCAAACCCGGGATACCACTAAATTAATTCAACAACCATAACACAGGAGTATAGGAGTAAAAATGAAATAAAAAAAAAAATGATTAACCCTAGAAAATAATTTAGAAAAAGCACCAGCGAACAGAACGAACGTAACATTAATTTCAATTTCCACATTTTCCGTACGAGAAGTAATTATGAAACTTCTCTGTCCGGCTAATTCATTTTGCTCAGCTAACGAGTCCAAGAGAGTAGTCATGCGAGATAACCAATATTTTCAAAGCTTTACTCCGTGTACGTTCAGTAAAGATGCCTATGCCAGTAAATATTTACTTTCTGGTACTTTCTCTCTGGCAAAGAAAATAGTTTTGTTTAATTAGTTAAAAATTAATTTGGAGTCTTAAGGATACGTTTCGTAATAGTGGCTGTTGATGAACTACGATGTTCTAATTTTTCAATGATTAGAGAAAATAATAGAAACTAATATAAATTATATCACTTTTAGCGAGAACAATAGGAGTATATTAAAAAATCTAGATCGAATTAGATAGATTCTCGAACAGGTATTTAAGAAGACGTCGATCCTTTTTTATTTTTTTATTATTAAATTTTTCAACGATGGGAGGATGTAATAGAGACGTAATATAAATAAATAATATAATAAATAGTAATATAATAAATAGTAATATAAATTATGCCATTTTTAGCGAAAACAATAGGAATTTATTTAAAAATCTAGATCGAGTTAGATAGATTCTCGAACAGGTATTTAAAAAGACGTCGATTTTTTTTTATTATGAAATTTTTCAACGATGGGAGGAAGTAATAGAGACTATTATAAATTATGTCAGTGGTCAAATCACTTTTAACGAAAATAATAGGAATTTATTTAAAAATCTAGATCGAATTAGATAGATTCTCAAACGGGTATTTAAAAAGATGTCGATCCTTTTTTATTTTTTTATTATTAAATTTTTCAACGATGGGAGGAAATAATAGAGATTATTATAAATTATGTCAGTGGTAAAATCACTTTTAGCGAAAACAATAGGAATTTATTTAAAAATCTAGATCGAATTAGATAGATTCTTGAACAGGTATTTAAAAAGACGTCGATCCATTTTAATTTTTTTATTATTAAATTTTTCAACGATGGGAGGAAGGAATAGAGACTAATATAAATCATGTCAGTGGTCAGATCACTTTTAGCGAGAACAATAGGAATTTATTTAAAAATCTAGATCGATGAATATCAACGTGGTCCACCGATTTTTGAACAGATGTCTAAAAAAGTCGTCGATCCTTGGTTTTTACGGAAGCTGGACATTCGGATGGATTCCTGGGCGTCGGTGTGAGGTGTTAAAAATAAGAGGTGGAAACTGCGAGGGCGATCGACCGCGAAATCCGACCGCGAGTACCACTCGAAGAAAGAAAACTGGATGGCCGTGTAAGCGGGTCCCGACTTATTCGAGGATCGGTTTCAACAGGGTCTAGTCGGTCAATAGAAAGTACAATACGGGTCGTGACAAGTCCTATAAACCGTTATAACGCTGGTCGTTCGTTCGAGCACCTACTTATGTCCTCCTCGCGATCGATAAAGATTATTAAAATACGCGGACTCTATTACGCGCCGCGTCGCTTTCGAAATACGGTCGAGTTTCTGACTTGGAAAATGAGTTTCGCGAGCAATGAGTATCCCACGGAACAAAATTATCAATCGTACGGAATTTTATCGACCCCGAACGTGCCACGAATCTCGTCCAAAATGGAGTCGAGAGTCAGCTAGGGTTGAATCTGCAATTCAAAATGGCCACCGTGCTCTATTACTCGTTCTCCATCTTTAATTTCAATTCTCTTATTAATTTTACATGATTCTGAAACGAACGTTATTCGTACGGATCCAAAATGCCTGAAGCGCGATACGAACGTGAAAATTGTAAAAATAAAAGTTTGGAGGTTATGAAACATTTAAATTCCCTCTGCATCTGTTGATTCCTCGATTAATAATTCATGTTTGATATCGAAGGTTGTTTTAAATCTGGTTTGTAGGTATTGAAAATCATTTCCTTGACCCTTTATTCAACAATAAATTAGTATAAATCCAAAAGAAATTGGCAAATGAGCATCAATTGGTCCCTTTTATCCAGCGCTCGCAATTAAGTTGGGCGGCGAAGTGACGTCGAATCGTCGGATCCGCAAAAGCCGCGAAAAAAACGAGCAAACGTAACAGGTGAAGAGTTCTTCGTATTGAAATACCGCAACGAAGGAAATCGTCAAATTAGCGTAATTGGATTTGGCGTGGTTCTGCTTTGAATGGCACGTTAGGAAAATACGAAGGAGATTTTATCAAAGTAGCAATTTTCTGTCGTGGCTCGGGGCGACGTGGAATATTACGCGCATAGAATGCATGAAAATCTTTCGCCTGGTTTTTAATAACCCCTCGCGACTGAAATTTGTTTTAATTAGCACCGACCGCGGAAAAACGATGGGGAATCTCAGCGACCTTTTAATTATCACGAAACTTCCGCGAATCCTTAGGATACCGCTGAAAACTTAGAGTCACAAATCTCGTTACATAATGTTAATCTGGACGCGAATCAGTCGAATTAAGTCAGGGGCGCATCAGAAGTCATAGAGTCACGATTATCATATGGACGTTTCTACGGTTCGTTGTTTTGGAAAAGACTTTGTAACGGTGAACAAAAAAAATATTGTTACGTAAACTTTGCTCGGTTTCCTTGTACGTGCCACGAATGAAATTGTAAGAAACCGAGTCTACAGGGTGCTTCTAAAATTCGGGACCAAATGCGACGCAAACGATTCTCTGATCATTTTTTTTAACATTGATATTCGCGATTTGGAATCTCAATTTTACAAGATTTTTACAAGATTATAATACAAATTAATTCAAGATTTCTATTTTTCAATCTGTTAATTATGTTACTGTTTTTGATACAAAACTGTAGATTTTGTATAAAATTTGATCTCACGTCATTTCGACGGTTTGATTTAGGGCAAATTGGTCGTCTGTGCGTCGAATTGCACGCGAGCGATTGGACACGGATTCGCGAGCGTGTAAATGACGTTAGAAAGTTGCGAGCACACGGCTGAGTCATCTGCGGCGCGCTTTTTTGCACCGTTGCGGAATGATTACGCTATGTACTTCGATAAAGAAACGAGAGAAAATATAAGGGCAGCTTACAGCACAAGGTAATCGTTACAAAAACGTGCACAGTCTCGTATATTCGCATAGAAAAATTTTATTTTATCTTCTTAATCGTTGGTTGGATTATTTATTTATATATTTTTCTAAAATTCTTTATTGTATCAATTTTACGCGTCTCTGAAACGAACAGTATTCGCACGGATCCAAAATAGAGTCGAAAGTCCGCAATTCAAGATGGCCGCCGTGCTCTGTCACTCGTAGTCCATTTATTTTCTTACGTCCATTTAAATTCTTATATTAACACTTTAATGGCCGCACGTATCGCTGATATTGTAGACCAAAATGGGATACACGAAGATGCTAGGAATATTATTACAAGGAATTATAAATATAACCTCAAAAAACGTGTTAAGTTAAATGTATGATGAAATGGTGGCTGATACAGTAAATCACACACACGTGACAGCGGCCATCAAAGTGTCAAAGTGTCAAATTTCAGATTCTGAAACGAACAGTATTTGCACGGATCCAAAATAGAGCCGAAAGACCGCAATTCAAGATGGTCGCCGTGCTCTGTTACTCGTAGTCCATTTAAGTTCTTATATTAACACTTTAATGGCCGTACGTATCACTGATATCGTAGACCAAAGTGAGATACACGAAGATGCTAGGAATATTATTACAAGGAATTATAAATATAGCCTCGAAAAACGTAATAAGTTGAATGTATGGTGAAATGGTGGCTGACACAGTAAATCACACACACGTGACAGCGGCCGTCAAAGTGTCAAAGCGTCAAATTTCAGATTCTGAAACGAACAGTATTTGCACGGATCCAAAATAGAGTCGAAAGTCCGTAATTCAAGATGGCCGCCGTGCTCTGTCACTCGTGGTCCATTTATTTTCTTACGTCCATTTAAATTCTTATATTAACACTTTAACACTTTGGCTGCCACGTCACCCATATATGGGTGACAAGACTTTCACACGATGGAACTAAAACAATTTATACTCTAAAATTAAAATTGAAATGTTAAATAAATTTGTATAGGACGAAGTTCAACGTAGTTACGAAAATAAGTACCAAAGACAAATTTTAAGTTATGCAGTTTACAATAATTTAAAATCGAAGTTTTGATCTCGTAGA